TAAAATCTTAAAAAAATAAAGATTTTATTTATTTTTAGAGAGAGTGAGTGTGAGCAGGAATAAGAGGGAGAGAGAAGGGGCGCCTGGGTGGCTCAGTCCGTTAAGCAGCTGCCTTCAGCTCAGGTCATGATCCCGGGGCCTGGGATCAAGCCCCACGTCCGGCTCCCTGCTCAGTGGAGAGCCTGCTTTTCCCTCTCCCTCTGCCTGCTGCTCTGCCTCCTTGTGCTTTCTCTCTCTCTGTCAAATAAATAAAATCTTAAAAAAAAAAAAAAAAAAAAGAGGGAGAGAGAAGCTGAAGCAGACTCGGCACTGCGGGCAGAGCCCAATGTGGAGTTCTATCCCATGATGGCAAGATCATGACCTCAGCCAAAACCAAGAGTCAAACGCTTAACCAACTGAGCCCAATTTTGATGTTTCTGTGTGTAGAAAAGAGCCCAAATATCAGTGTTGTTTTGTAAATTCTGGTAATGTTCATGGTTATTATTTCCATAGCAATGACTGTAAAATATAACTTAATAAGTGATATATGTTAATAGTTTTATAATTCAGCCCCAAACTTGAGTCAGAGATTAAAATAACTGCATTCAAAAGACAGTAGGTAAGAGAGTGAAGAAACAACCACTGAATGAGAGAAAACATTTGCAAGTTATGGATCTGATAAGGGACTCATATCCAGAATACATAAAGAACACTTATAACTCAATTAATAGAAAGACAACCCAATTTGAAAATGGGTAAGGATCAGGGCGCCCAGGTAGCTCAGTTGGTTAAGTGTCCAACTCTTGATCCCAGCTCAGGTCTTGATCTCGGGATGGTGAGTTCAAGCTCTGCATTGGGCTTCAGGCTGGGTGTGGAGCCTACTTCAAAAAAGGGGGGAGAGGGGTTTGAACATACATTTCTCCAAAGACAACATACAAATGGCCAATAAGCACATGAAAATGTGCTCAACATTCTTGCTAACAGGGAAATGCAAATAAAATTCACAATCATACACCAATTTACACCCAATAGGGTGGCTATAATCAAAAAGACAGATAATACAAGTCTTGCCAGAGATGCAGAAAAATTGGATCCTCATACACTGCTCGTAGGAATGTATGATAGTCACTGTGGAAAGCAGTCTGGCAGTTCTTCAAAAGGTTAAACATAGAGTTCCTATATGACCTAGCAATTCTACCCATAGGTATATTTCCAAAAAATATGAAAAACACAGCCACACAAAAACTTGTACGTAAATGTTCATAGCACTACTATTCATTATAGCAAAACATGGAAACAACCCAAATGTCTATCAACTGATGAATAAAAAAATTCACATAATGGATTACTGTTTGGCCATAAAAAGGAATGAAATACTGGGGCACCTGAGTGGCAGTCTGTTAAGCGTCAGATTCCTGGTCTTGGCTCAGGTTGTGATCTCAAGGTCATGAGATCCAGCCCGGTATCAGGCGCCATACTCAGCTGGGAGTCTGCTTAAGACTCTCTCTCTCTCTCTCTCTCTCTCTCTCCCTCTGCCCCTCCCATCCACACTCTCTCTCTAAAATAAATAAATATTAAAAAAGGAATGAAGTATTGATAAATGCTACAACATGGATGAGCCTGGAAAACATCCTAACCAAAGGAAGTCAATCACAAAAGATGTCATACTGCATGCTTCCATTTAATGAATTGCTAAGAATAGGCAAATCTATAGAGACAAAGTAAATTAATGGCTGCCTAGGGCTGGGGAAGGTGGAAGGGGTTGGGGGATGATGGCTTAAAGGCAGTTTCTTTTTGGGTGATGAAAACATTCTAAAATTGTGGTGGCAGACTCACAACTATATGATACACTAAAAACCACTTAACTGTATACTTTAAATGAGTGGATTGTGTGATATGTTAATTATATCTCAATAAAGCTGTTACAGGGTGCCTAGGTGGCTCAGTTGGTTAAGCATCTGCCTTCAGGTCAGGTCATGATCCCAGGGTCCTGGGATTGAGGCCCACATAGGGCTCCCTGCTCAAGTGAGTCTGCTTCTCCCTCTACCCTTTCCCCCCTGCTCCTGATCTCTCTCTCAAATAAATAAAATCTTAAAAAAAAAAAAAATTTTTTTTAAAGCTGTTACAAAACAACAAAATCCTCACGTTTTTGGTTACACTCTATTGCATTTCTCAGGGAAATTATAGCTACTTTAGTCTTCATAAAGGCCTTGGGGTATATCCCTCTAAACAGAAATTCTCTTTTTCTTGTCCCCACTCCAGAAATTCTCTCTCTTTAAAGGAGGCAAAAACAAGGAAGGTAGAACAAGAAAGGAAATCTTCAAAACTGAATGATTACCATGTGTGACATTATCATTTTACCTACTCATTCTTATATTTTGAACAGTAATTTTTCCTACTAGTGTCACATTTTTGTCTTCTTTAAACATTTCAAGAAACTAAAGAAGGCCAAGCTTAATATAAAATGTTCAACTTATTTTATTTACTTCTTTATTTCAAGTTTGATCAATTTGTTTTATAAACACTTATTTTGTAGAGATAATGTGAGGATTCACGATATCACATAAGATGGCTAAAACAATCCCTGATATTCAGTAAATTATTCTCATTATCATTATGCTACAGGTAATGCAGGATCCTAAAGTTGAGGAGCAAAACTGTAGAGGTGGGGGTGGGGGGGACACAAAGACTGTGCCCTACAAAGGTACATTTATGTCAAGGAAAAGAAACTTTTGTTAGATAATTCAAGACCAAACAAAATCGCAGCAGCAGCAGCAGCAGCAGCATGATCATCACCACCACTACTTCCACCATCACCATCATCACCCAACACCACGCTCCTCCTAAAGCATCTATTTATATGCCTTTAATTTTTTCTAATTATGAAGCACTTAAATGTATGGAAATATCCCCAAACCCGGTAAACAGAACATCCTATCATTTTCCCACGTGTATCAAATTTTTCAAAAACGTATGAAATATAAGATAACACAGATCCATTTTCACTTCCTCTCTCCCTTATGGTAACCACTGTCTTGCAATATGATGTTAATCATCACTATGCATATTTTAACTGTAACTACAGGTATCTGTGAACAAAATAGAATATTGTTTTTGCATGTTTTCAAACTTTACCAAATGGCACCTTGCTTTCTTAGCTCAACATTTTGCTTGTTTGTTGTTTTTTAATTCAGTCATGTTGTTTCATGACAACTGTCGGTCAGTATTATATTCTATGAATATTACAATATATTTGTCCATACTCCCAACTAATGAGATGTTTAAACGCTTTCTAATTTTGTTACTAAGAAGCTGCAATAAATATAATTTCTTGAGCACAGGTACTAGTTTCTAGGATACATTCCTAGAAGAACTGCTAGGTCAAAGACTATGTACCTTCAACTTCATTAGAGATCACTAAGTAAGAGTGTTCCATTTTTCTCCTCATCCTCACTGATTCTTGGTATTGTCATACTTTTTTACTTTTGCAAACCGAAGGGTATGAAGGGGTACCTCACTGGTTTATTTTTTCCTGATTATTAAGATTAAGTATCATTTATTGGCCTTTCAGTATTTCTCTCATGTGAAATGCCTTTAACAGCATTGCTATTTTTCTATTGATTTGTAGTAGTTCTTAAGATAGTCTGGGTACCAATCCTTTATTGATTATATGTGTTTCTAAAATTCCCTCCACCCCAAAGTATAAGCCTTTTGCTTATTTCGAAATCTAATAAAGTATAGGAGGAGCAAAGACAATCTCTGCCTTTTCAAAGTTCACAGCTATTTTCCAGACCTTTATACCTAGGTTTCTCAAACCTTTCTGACCATTCAGAAGGTCAGAATTCCTCCTTGAGTGCCAATACACATACACTTTATACATGAACTGAAAAACAGGACTCTAAGTCAATTTCTCCTAAGAGATTAACCACAAGCAAATACACAAGCACAGTTCTCCATTCCCTATAGCCAACGCCACATTTTAGCTCTCATATTCATCCACATAGAGATTTCATATGGGTCAGTAAAACAAGCATCTATTTTGATTAATAACAGCTGGTAAAACCCCTAATTAATAAATAACCATCAGATCGATACATCAGGATGTCTGAAACAATAACAAGAAGTGCCCATTCTCTCTCCCCAATGAATTGAAGAATTAAGGTGCAAACCCAGACTCTAAGCAAATGAAATTTTTTTTATTTTTAGTCACACTAACACACAATCAGTTCTTACAGATACAGTTGCTCTGCAGAAGTGAAATGATTCCAAATATTTTAGTGAGAGCACATACTGCTCTTAAAAGTTAACTTCATTTACAAGAGCGCTAATGTTTTGCAAAACAAGCACGCGGCCCTAGAAGTATATAATCACTCAGCAAGAAAGGACTTTAGATCACTCAATCGAACTTCATTTTGAGGTGAGGCAACTGCTAACAAATTCGCCGAATCCTAGTCCTCTAAAATCTACAAATTCAGGGTTCTTCCACTGCATCATGCATGGATGCAATTTTAGATTCCCCAATTCCAAAACTCTGATTCCGCTATTAATTTTACAAGACTGAGTTGATGTATTATAGAAATGATGGAATTAACTCCCATCCCCATACCAATCTTTTTTTTTCCTTTCCACTTCCCTTTTCCACCCCTATCCTCCATTATGATCTACAGAATGTGAAAAAATACCTGACTGCCTGAATTTCTGGCTCTAAACAGGGACAGAGTCCTGAGCCCCTGACTACTGCCTCTGTGTTAAACCAGAAGGGTTTTTTATTTTTGTTTTTGTTGTTTTTAATCCTTCATTCCCTATGCAATAATACCTACGAAGCGCAGATTCTGCGGGAAGCGCGGTGGACGCCGCTCCTCCTAGCCCGCGGACCACCGACGCCAGGGAGCCGGGGGCGCGGCGGGCGCCGGGTAGGGCGGTGCCGGGCAGCAGGGAGCTGGGGTCGCGGGGGGAATGGGGCTGGCAGGGAGAGGGGCCCGGCGGCACCAGGGAACAGGCCGGGTGGCGGGGCGACTCACCTTTACGCAGCTCCCGCTCCCACACGGTGACTATGGGCCGCGAGTGCTTGCGGTGATGGATGAGCCACAGGGACAAGGTCTGCACGCTCTGCTGCGAGTTGCTCAACTCCGACAGCTTCTTCTCCAGCGCCGCCTCAGAGAAGGCTGACATCCCTCCGATACCGCGTTCACGCCGTCCCACGCGGTGGGGCTGAGGGGAGGAGAGTTTAGCCGCCCGCGCCGCGGCCTCGCCCCCTCACCCCACCCTTCCCCACGCCTTCACCACCGCTGCCGCCACATCCAAGACCGGCCGCAAACCAGCAAGATGGCGTCTGGCCGGCAGTGACGTCAGGACCCAGCCTCGCCCCGCCCTCGGAAGAGGCGAGGCCAAGCGGCGGGACCTCAGAGCGAAAGGACGGGGCCAAAACTGGCGCATGGAAGGCACACGGGGGCGTGCCGCCGGGGTTTTGGCCAGGGGAGAGGTGGGGTTTACCCAGCCTGGACGCCTTCTAGGGTAAAACTGTCTGCTGAAAAAGGAGTGATTAAAAATCTCTACATTGGCTAAAAAAAAAAAAAAAAATCTCTACATTGGCGTGTAAATTGGTACAGCCAATTTGGGAGACTATTTGGCGTGATATATTACATTTTAAAATTGCACCTTCCCTATGTCCCTGCAATTTGGCTAATTGCCATCAGTGCTAGGGGAACAGCAGCATGTTTGCGCAAGGAGCTGTATGCTAGCTGTTCGGTCTGGCTCACTAACCCTAAGAGTTGGGACATTCACAGAAGGTAAATGCTAGATTAATTGTGATACTGCATATTATAGAATATATGTAGCAGTTCAAAAGATTAATAAATCCAATGGTGGGTTGGAGGGTTTTTTTAAGTTTCAGAGTGAAAAATACAGTTATAACATTTGTTTTATGAAAGTATATATTGTGGGGCACCTGGGTGGCTCAGTCGGTTAAGCCTCAGACTCTTAATTTCGGCTCAGGTCCTGATCTCAGGGTTGTGGGATCGAGCCTCCCCACTGGGCTACCTGCTTAGTAAGGAGTCGGCTTGGGATTCTTTTTCTCCCAATCCCTCTGCCTCTCCCCCTCTCCCTGCTCATGTTCTCTCTCTCTCTAAATAAATAAATAAAATCTTCAAAAAAATAAAAGTATATATTGTATATGAATTCATAAGTATGTAAATGCATGGCAAAAAGTTTGGAAGAATACACACTACTTTAATAGTGGTGTCAAAGACAGGATCAGAATTGGAGCCCTTAACCTGTGTTTATATTGTTTTTATTTTTTACAAGAGTGGGTTCATGTATTTCTTATATAATTAAAAATTAATTTCAGAAATCTCCTAATTAATCCAGCATTTTGGGTGCCTGGGTGGCTCATTTGGTTAAGCGTCTGTCTTTGGCTCAGGTCATGATCCTGTCCTGGGATCGAGCCCCACCTAGGGCTCTCTGCTTGCTGGGGAGGCTGCTTTTCCCTCTGCCCCTCCCCCCACCCACCCCATTCTGCTCTCTCTCTCTCTCTCAAATAAATAAATAAATGATCTTTTAAAAAAATCCAACATTTTGACATGTGACAAATGACTTATGATGTATGACAAATCCATACATTTTAACATAGTACTATGAGTTCACAAAGGAAGCAGAAAGGTAGATACTGTCACATTCCAAATATTAATATAAACTTCAAGGAAGATAAATAAAAAAACCACAGGAATTCTTACCTTTTGAGAAGCACTGTTCAAGAACTTTGCACCAAGTAGGCAGCAAATATGTTTTTTTGTTTGATTATAATTATAGTTTATCATTCCAATTTTTAATGTTACTATGAGGTTCAGAGCATATCTCAAGAGGTGAAATAACTCTCCTCTCTCTTCCTCTCACTCCAATATCTATTCCTGTCTCCTCATGCTTCTTCCCTATTGTACATCCTTTTGTTTTTCCAAACTGTTTAGTCCAGTTTTGGGCCTGAACTTAGAGTTTAACTTATCTGTCTTCTGAGACCTCAATGTATCTTCAACACTATTCCCTTCCATGAACCCTGCAGCGACCAAAATTGCTAAATTTCACCTAAGATTCCAGTTCTTCACACTCCCTTCTTCTCTACCTCAATTCTACCTGAAATTTAAAGACCACCGTAAATTCCACCTCTTTTTCTTTCCCAACCAGTCCAATGTATGTAAAAAGTTTCTTCCTGTATCATTTACTGATTTGAATGCCTTATTTAGCACTTACACTACTAATCTGTGTTATTTATAATTATATAGTTTATATATTCTCTCCCCAGGTAGATTTTGCTCTCAATGACTCAGCCAAAACATCAACTCTTCTGTTTGTTTTAGTCCTCAGTCTGATTTGTCTGCTCCTGCTATGGACTTAACACAGTATTCTGTACTTGTGTGTAACACAGCTTTCCACATGGAACGGTTCGATTTATATTTATTGACATTGTTAATTATTGCTGTGTTTTCAAAATATTGGTTGTAACTGCATATGCCCTTAGATAATTTTTTAAAAAGATTTTATTTGTTTATTCAAGAAAGAGAGAGATCGCATGAGCCAGGGGGAGGGGTAGAGGGAGAGGGAGAAGCAGACTCCCTGCTGAGCAGGGAGCCCAAGGCAGGACTCGATCCCAGAACCCTGAGATCAAGGCCAGCATCGAAGGTAGATGCTTAACTGACTGAGCCACCCTGGCACCCTTGCCCTTAGATAATTATGACTTATTTTCATAATATCCTCTGACTATACTTCTTGATTTTGTCTTTCAAAATACAGGTCTCTAATTCAGAATAATGCATTTTTCCATAAACTATCTTTGGCTTTCCTGGAATAACCACTAAGTAACAAAGAGATGTGCTCCTTCAACTTAAAAAAAGCCTATTACAAGAAGAGACTATAGGCCAATATTGTTTATGAATATGGATGCAAAAATCCGGAGCAAAATACTACCAAACCCAATCCAGCCTCCTATTAAGAGGATTATGCATCATGACCAAGTGGGATTTATCTCAAGAATGCAAGGGTGGTTCAAATACAAAATTCAATCAATATTATATGCCATATTAATAGAATGAAGGAAAAAACACATGATCATTTCAAATGATGAAGAAAAATCTAGCACCATTTCATGATAAAAAAAAAACAAAACACCAAAGTAGGAATGAAAGGAAACTTTTTGAACATATTAAGTGTATGGGAAGGCACCTAGGTGGCTCAGTTGGTTAAGTGTCTGCCTTCAGCTCAGGTCATGGTCCCAGGGTCCTGAGATCAAGCCCCATATTGGGCTCCCTGTTCGGCAGAAAGCTTGCTTCTCCCTGTCCCTCTGCTTGCCACTCCCTCTGCTTGTGCTCTCTCTTTCTGTCAAATAAATAAATAAAATATTTTTTAAAAAAGTGTATGGGAAGGCCCGTAGCTAACATTATATTCAATGATTTAAAACTGAAGGCTTTCTTCCTAAGATCAGGAACAAGACAAGCATATATATTTTTGCCACTTCTATTGAACATTATACTGGAAGTTCTAGCCATAGCAATTAGGTAATAAAAAGAAATTCAAGGTATCCAAATTAGAAAGGAGGAGGTAAAATGATCTCTATTTGCAGAAGACATGATCTTATACATTAAAAAATCCTAAAAAAGAAATCCTAAGGAATCCACAAAAGCACTAGAGCTAATAAATTAATTCAGCAAAATAACAGGATACCAGATAAATACACAAAAATCAGTTGTAGTTCTACATACTAGCAATGAACAATTTGAAAATGAAATTAGTAAAATAACCCCATTTACAATAACATGAAAAATAATAAAATACTTTGGAATAAATGTAACCAAGGAGATTTTCAAGTATATACTGAAAACTACAAAATATTATTGAAAGAAATCAAAGAAGACCTAAATAAATGGATAGATATACCTTGTTCATGGATTGAAAGACTTGTATTGTTAATAGGGCAATTATTACTCAAAGCAATCTTCAATTTCAATGCAATCCACTTAATGTGGGGCTCGAAGTCATGACCCTGAGATCCAAGAGTCAAATACTCTACCGACTGAGCCAGCCAGGTGCCCCTGTTCTTTATTTTTTAGTTATTTTTCTTCTTCTCTTTTGGTTTAAGACACCTGATACCTCTTGAGCACAACCCCTATAAGGCCCTATTCTTAATATTGTTATCTTTTTTTCTTTTTTCCTTTTTTGAGAGAGAGTGTGTGTGTATGTGTGTCTGTGTGTGCGTGTGCATATGCACACGCATGAACGAATGGGGGGGAGGGGCAGAGGGAGAGAGAGAGAATCTTAAGCAGGCTCCATGGCCAGCAAAGAGCCTGATGCATGGCTGGATCTCATGACCCTGAGATCATGACCTGAGCCGAAATCAAGAGTTGGACGCTTAACTGACTGAGCCACCCAGGCGCCCCAGTTCTTTTTATCTCTAGTCATTGGTATTGAGTCTAATACCTAGTGTGATTTTTTATGATTTAGCTAAAACATATAATAAAACCAGCTGCTATGTTTTTTTTTTAAAAGACTTATTTATTTATTTGAAAGAGAGAGAGCACATGAGGGGGGGAGGGTCAGAGGGAGAAGCAGACTCCCTGCTGAGTAGGGAGCCCGATGCAGGACTCGATCCCGGGACTCCAGAATCATGACCTGAGCCGAAGGCAATTGCTTAACCAACTTAGCCACCCTGGCACCCAGCTGGCTGCTGTGTTTGTATCCACTTTCCACCTCAAAGGCCGCCTTTGAGTTCCCACCAGTGTCTTTCCTTGTAAAAATTCAGTTGATTTCCTGGTTAATTAGCTTCAATTACTAACATTCTTTTTTTTTTCTTTTAAGTAATCTCTATCCCCCAACATGAGGCTTGAACTCACGACCCCAAGATCAAGAATAGCATGCTCTACCGACTAAGCCAGCCAGGTGCCCCACTAACAAGTCTTTATACAGCTTACACCACAACAGGCAAAATATTCAAAAGTCTATAATCCCTATCATGTCATACTATGAAGGGACAATCCTGTCTCCAACAAAAAGTGTGTGTGTGTGTGTTGAGGGGGAGGGGATCTTACATGGTAAGGTAAGGAAATAGCAGCAAAGGTAATGGTAAGCTACTAAAGTCTTAGAACCCCTCTCAAAAGTTCATAAACTTGGATAGGCAATGATCAAAATAGAGCAGCTCCGGATATATTAGACTCTCAAGGTGCAATATGTACTATCTTAAAAGAAAAATGTACCCCTGAAACAAATAATACATTTTATGTTAATAAAAAAAAGAAGAAAAATGTACGGCTGACACTTTAGCAACATGGGTTTGAACTGCATGGGTCCACTTATGCTTGGATTTTTTACAGTACAGTACTGTAAATATATTTTCTCTTCCTTACGATTTTCTTTTTCTTTTTTTTTAAGATTTTATTTATTCATTTAACAGAGA